CATTCCCACTTCATCTTGAGTAGAAGCCGCTACTACTTCCACTGGCCCCACGCGTTTCCCGAGCTAGAAGCCTGGGAATAGGTTGTCCCTACTTTTGGAGCAACCTTTTGCGTAACCTTAGCGTTCTGACACTTCCACTGCGTGTGTCCGTATTCTCCGCAGTTGATGCAAGCGCCACGCATTCGGCGATCACGCCACACGTCTTGATCAAGACCTGCCTTTACCCACTCAGACTGTTTGGTCTGATTGGAGGCGGCCTTCCCTTGACTCCTAGGTTGGCCCTTCCCTCGGCCTGCCGCCTTAGTCTTCGCTACCGCGGCAAGGGTGCTACCCTCAGCTGCCTCCTCGCCGTCATACTCTGAGTAGTCCATCAGGTCAGAGAGCTCATCGATTTCAGTTTGAGTCCCATCAGACTTAACCATCATCAACTTCGCCCCCTTCTTCTTCCACTCCTGAGGACTCTTCTTCTTCTTTGAGTCATTCCCTGAGGTGGGTTGAGCATTGCCTAGCGTGGCCTCGAAGTCTAAGGCTTTCCTAGACAATGTCTCAAACGAGTGGTACTCGGTGCGTGCCTCACTGGCTAGTAAGTTCCTCATGTTCTCTGGGAGACATCTGACAAACGTGGTTAAGAGGAACTGGTCACTGTAGTTGATGCCTGGGACGAGGATCAGGCTCTCGACGGTAGTCGTAAGCTCCCTAACTGACCTGAACTTGCGTTGGTCAAGTTTGTTAATGGCATCAGTGACCCTTTGAGCCTCCTATGGGTTACGCAGTTACCACTTCGTCCTCAGGCAAGGTCCTTTTGGCCTTCACCCAAACCGGGACTGTCTTCAACCAAGTGTTGAGTTCCTCGTCCTTTCTCTCGCCTGAGAAGGCAAGAGGCGGTTTCATTGGGGTTTTGGGATACCATTGACCTTGCGGTTGTCCAGTTGGCTGAACAGGTTGTTGTGGTGATGCAGCAATCACCACTTGATCCGAAGAAAAAGATGCAACAGTCTGTGCTGCTGCTGCAGATGTGCCACTTGGCTGTGTGCCAGCTTGTACGACAAAGGGACCTGACATAGCCGTTAACGGCAACGGCGATTGTGCTGGTGGCCGGAATCCTAGCTTTGTCAATGCATCCAGGATCTGGTCCAAAGTGCTTTGCACGAAGTCCATCCTGCTGTCTACGTGCGCATGCAGTGACAACATGTTGTCCCTCAACACTTTCAGGGTGTCAGACAAACTCGATTCGTCCAATCCCTCTAACGCAACCTTGTCAGCCTCTAACGTATCAAGTCTGGCTGCTCTACTTTTTATCTTTTTTTCTCTATCGGTTGCTTTCTTCAGATCCTCCTCTAACTGCAGGCGGAGCCTCTCGACCTGTTGGATCTCTCTGAGCTCCCTCTCACGCGGGGTCAACGGGCTGAACTGCGAGCCCGCCATTTGAGTAGAAGACTGTCTAGACCCGGTTGACCCGAAAGTGCCCGAGGAACTTGTGGAACTCAGTGGCATTCCCAAATGAGTCCCACTAGTCCCTAACGAGGACGCAGACGATGACGCAGCAGAGCTGGTACTGTTAGCCATTGCTGTTGCTCTGGCTGTTGTTGCCCGCTCTCTTGCTACTCTGTTTGCTTCTTGTAGTCCTGCTGCTAGAGCACAGGCTCTACGTTCGGCACAAAGCAGTCTTTCTTCTCCCTCGTCTAAGGTCCTGAACACGTGTGGAACCCTTAATGCATCTGCACGTGTAAGTCTTTTATTGTCTGCTCTATCATCAACATGATCTGACCCACTCATTAGTTAGGCAGATAGTTTCTGCACTAGAATCCCCTAGTGGAATCCTACCACAACGTGTATCTGACCGACACCTAATTTTCTAACAATAGTTTTGTCCGGCGAGTACCCTACTATACCGAATCAAGCGGCATGTCTACAAGATTCACACAGATTGTCTACGTAGTCTAGATGCACCCTGATTGGTTCACTTACAACAGCATTAGTTAGAACTGGCTATGGTAGCATACAACAGTCCTACACTAATCTGTCTGTGAGGTTAGCAGTCCGTCAACCAACTAATCAAAGGTACAAAAAAAGACAATGTAGCAGATGTATGATTGATGGGTATTGTTGTGTATACAGTTGAGCACCAATTGAAACCTGCCCTCCCCTCAATCCAACCATCCGAACAACATCATTGAGCGAGCAGTGTCTTCGTGTGTATTTCGGCCCACCCCTGTGCCCAAGTTGTCACCGAGCAAGCCAGCCCAACCACTCTTATTTACCCTCGTACGATGACGAGCCTTCCTGTCCATGCGATCTGGCTGATCAGGAGGAATTTATAGAGCGCCCCCATCTCTTCAGGAATTATTTAACGTCGCAGTCAGGACGACGATCACAGCCAGAGTCACAATGAACTCCCAACCAGAAATATTTATAGACGGTCTGGTAAGCGTCTGTCATGGGCTGGCACACCCGGAGGAACTTCCATTAGCGCAGCAAGTGCCAAACAGGACAGCAGCCATCGCATGCGTGCACTACTCCCTGTGGGTTGGCATGGTGACCGTGACCCAGTGCTTCGACCAGGGCCCTTCAGAGGCACCGCCCTTTCTCCTTCCAGATGCTTCCGGGAAGATTGTCGTCTCTCAAGGTAGCACGCTCACGACACCTCACCAAAAGAGAGGACTCTCAAGTCGGACTCACTTCCTCACGGTAAGAAGAGATTGAGAGAGTAGATAAGGTAAGGGAACAACGTACCTGGAGATAGCTGCCCCCAACCACAGATTTCTCACCAATTGAGCTGAGTGTGCATTTGATGACCGGTCTTGGCCCTGTCTCTTATACACATCTAGATGTGTATAAGAGACAGGGCGGGCCCCTAGTGTGGCCTGACGTCACAAGTACCCACTGCGAAGAAGCATCATCAACGCACCAAGTCTGTATAACGCCAGCGTGCCAAAGGTAAGTGGCGATCAAACCAGCTCCGATACCAAATTGCAAGGAACATGAGTATGGACGAAGCACAGAAATCCAGAATGCAAAATCACACTGAAGTCCAAGTATTCAAAGCCAAAGCAGATAGCACATGGAACTGAGTAACCATCCCATTGAGAATGATACAGAAGAATCGTGAGTCAATGTCCATGCCCAACAGGGCAACACCAACAGCATAACCCAAATGTAGCTCTCTCTTGTGAATGGCGCCAGGCGCCCTATCTACTCTACAGCCTATCCTACAACTACAGCAATGAACAGCAACCAGACAACTTGACTACCAGCGAGTGATGATGTCAACACCAATGCAGACCTCCACCATCACCAGGTACGTGTCCTCTTCCCCACACTCTCCCTTGTTACCCACGCAGCGCCCTTCACCTCCGAAGTACCACCTTCGCCCTTCACCCCTCTGCGCCCTCTGCAGCCCGGCTATGGCCGCCAAACGCCCAGTGCACAGGCAGGGCCCTACCGCCTAGCGCATGCCTGCCTTGCACTTCCTCTTAGCGCAGCGCAGCAGCCAGCAGCTCGCATTTGCGCAGCGTGCCGGCATTGCCCGCAATGGCCAAGATCCCTGCTGCCTCGCCCTGCTTGCCTATATGCCAGTGCAGTGTGTGGGCGGCCTCTCTTCAGCCTGTGACCGGGGCCCAGAGGCTGAAGCCAACTTGATACACTTGGGCCCCGGGGCAATGCAGTTGCGCCTCCTTCATCAAGGCCTGCGGCCAGATTCAGACAGTGGGCCGATTTCCCTTTGGCATTTTCGGCCTCTCTACCCAGCATGCATTGTCGGCCTCACGTTCGAGTGCCCAGGGCCTAACTAACTCAGAGGCCCTGGGCATTTCAGCATTTGCTGAAATCCGAGACTCGGTGCACTCCAACCAACTGGCCTGCTGCAACTGTATAGACCCCACTTCGTGAAATGTTGGCACAGAGGGCTCTTGTTGATTTGCTGGCCCGCCTTCACTTAGGGCGGGCACTAGGCTTGCTGGGGCCTTAGCCCAGAACATGTACATCATGGCAAGGCCCCTACTTGAGGGCTCAATCCTCACAAGTAGAGGAAAAAGAAATACGATTTTGCGGCCCGCGGCTGTCCAGGCCGCTGACATTTACGTGCCCTTTTGTGTGAACACGCAAATTACGGGCCTGAAATGACCCGGAAAACTACATAAAATTTGTGATTTTGCGAAAATACGTGGTAGTGTGAGTATGTTCTGAGTGAGTTTTGGCGCTCAGAAGAATGTGTGAAGAAACCTGAAAATTGGAGTACTTCTAGATTTTGTTGTGATCTTTCCAGGAGAAATGCTCAATAAATTAAAAAGAAATCATTCCAACAGTGAAATAGATAGCAGCCCCAATTTGACCCATATTTCAATTTTCCCATTCAGCCTCTCTCTCTCTCTCTCTCTGGTAGCCCCCCTCTCTCCCTCTCTCTTTCTCTCTCTCTCTGGTAGCCCCCCCCTCTCCCTCTCCCTCTATCTGGCTTTCTTTCTCTCCCTCACTCTGTCTCTCTCTCACACTCATAACAGTAAATGGAACGAAACTCTCTCTCTCTCTCTCTCTCTCTCTCTCTCTTGTGCGCGCTCTTAGTCTCATTGCTTGCTGTAGACAATGGGCTTGATCATGAGGAATGCTTTGCCATATAGTGTTGGATAGCTAGGGTAGCCTGTAATTGCCGTAGAGTAGTGGATAGGTAGGGTAGCCTGTGCTCAGCTCATACGCCTCGCACGAGGACTGTTGTACCTAAATCTGGACGCAATTGCGGTGAGATGCGTCCGAGCGGGGCCGTAGTTGAGGTCAGACACTGCGCTGCCTGGACTGTAATTCAGGGTAGTGGAACGGGCCCTACGGCAGGCGAGGGGGGTAGTAATTGACGGCCAGGTTGCAGAAAAGGCAAACAAAAGAAAAATCGACGACCGTCCTGGGCCGCGTGCATGTGTGTTATGTTATGTGCGCGTGCATGTTTGAGAGCGGGAAAAGTGAAACTGTGACTTCCGGGGGCGTAATGGCGGGAAATTAGATGTCGGGAGAATACAAGCCGTCTCTCTACCGGTAGTGTTGAGTGAGTGGATGAGTGAATTGAGTGATTGATTGATTGGCCGGCCGATAACGAAGGTTGATTAAGTGTCTAGACTTGATTGGGTCATTGAACTTTAAAGACGAATATTTTGGTAGAACGGCGCTGATCCGACCCGATTATTAAGTACATATGTACTCATAAAAGGGCGGGAAAGGATCGAGCTGGCTAGATTTGTACATAGATAGTCAACAGGAGAGGGCTTTTTTTTCCTGTTTTGGATGCCGGGAAGTTGCTTTCGACTCTGTGGGTGGTGGCGCGGCGGGGGGACTACGCGCGGGAAGAGGAGGTTGAAGGAGTCGTCTGCCCAATGCAGGCAGGCCGTGCCCGAAGAACGGGGAAGCTGTTCAGCCCCGACGAGCATTGTTGCAAGTCTGCCACGTGGCAACAGCGGGTTGAAGCAGGTGAAGAATGCATCAGGAACGGTGCAAAGAGGAAGCGAGAATAACGAAGAGTTAGGTAACGGGAGAGGAAGAGGAGGAGGAGGAGGAGAAGGAGGAGAAGGACGAGGAGGAGGACGCGAGAATAACGAAGAGTTAGGTAGCGGGCGAGGAGGAGGAGGAGGAGGAGGAAAGCGCGAAAAGAAGTCGGTAATGAGTTCTGCTGCGGATATGGCAGACTTCCACAACATGGACAGAGAGACACTTGGCAAGATGAGAGAAGTAGGAGATGAAGTAACCCGAGGTGGAGAAACCGCAGGAACCGCCTCCTTGTCGTCGTCGTCATCGTCCTCATCCTCCTCCTTTTGTTCTGCTCTATCGAGCGCGCGATTGCAACGGCCTGGGAACACGTTGGATGCTGACGTGTCGGGCTGTCTTGTCCGGAATGATGATGTCAACGACGAAAGCAATCGCGGCCTCAAAGACGGAAGGGATCGCGACCTAAATTCCCTCAGAGATGGAGTCCCAGGGGGACAACAACTGGAGCAACACAAGTTGCTCGGTGATGCAGCAGCAGTAGGAGGTATCAGGACCGCCGGCGAACGAGTCGAACGAGGCAACGACGATGGTGAAACGATATTGCTGATCGGTGAAGATGCTATGAGGAATAGCAATATGGGTGAAGATGCTATCAGGAATAGCAATTTCATTAGCCGCCTTGACGACGACAGCCTAATGCAGGTGTTGAGGTTGTTGGAGGCAGAAGATCTGGCGCGAGCGACAGCTGTTTGTCGCACGTGGCGGCGAGTTGTGTTGAGTATGGAGTTGTGGGCGAAGTTGTGCGGCAATTTAATCCTTCTGCCGAACATCTTGAGGGTAGAGGACTGTAGTCACACGAGCATGTCTGGGGCGTCGTCGCTCGACGAAGCCGAAGATCTAATCTCGATGGACATAGATCATCATCATCATAATCATCATCATCATCATAATCATCATCATCATCCTCATCATGATTACTCGGATCATGGGGACGACGAAGAAGATGAATATCATGAACATCATCAACATCAACATCAACAGCATCATCATCATCATCATCATCATCATGGCCAAGACAACGGTAATCAACCAGAGGAAGACGAAGAGGAAGAGGGAGGAGGGAATGGGGAGAATGAAAGAGAAGGGGGGGTGCGGAGGCAGGTGCCACATGGTCAACGTCGCTGTCATCATTCTGTGAATTGCCAGCATCATGAGAATGAGCACAGGCAGCGGGACAGGGAAATGCAGAGCGAGGGGGGGGGGGAGGGGGGGGAGGAAGATCCTCCTCCTCCTCCGCTGACCCCTGCCCGCCAGGATGATCATGAAGAGACGGGGGAAGAGAGGAGGAGTGGAGAGGAAGGGATAGAAAACGGAGCGGAGTGTCATTGTCATCATCACCATCATCACCATCATTGCCATCAAGACCATCATCAGCAGCAAGCACAAAACGACGAGGAAACTGAAGAAGAAATGGAGGAGGATGCATTAGGAAACACTCGTCATCACCATCATCACCATCCTCTTCCTCCTGCTCATCATCATCACCATCATCACCATCATCCTCCTCATCTCCATCAGCATAACCATCATCATCACCTTCATCATCACCATTGCAATCATGAATGCGCGCACGATCATTCTTATCCTCACTCTTCTGACGAAGAGAGGGAGGAGTCCCCGCGGCGGCGGTCGCAGAGGGAAAGAGAAGAGGCGGAGCGAGAGGAGGGGGAGAATGAGAGGGAGCCGGCTGCTGACCCAGACGGCGGCGAACAGAACCTAACGGCACCAAACGGAGCCAGACGGGAGAATGAGAGAGTACCTAGGGAAGTTGACGACGTAGCGATAGGGAGTCGACGGGACCCAGGCGGGCCCATACGGACCCAGACGGAGCTACCAGGAGTCAAACGCACCCAGAGGGAGTCAAACGCACCCAGACGGACCCAAACGGACTCAAACGGAGCGAGCAGAGGGAGTCAAACGAACCCCCCAGACGGAGCCAGCGGAGGGAGTCGAACGAACCCAGACGGAGCCAGCAGAGGGAGTCAAACGGACCCAGACGGAGCCAGCAGAGGCAGGCAAACGGACCCAGACGGGTCGAAGGAGAGGTCGAGAGGGAAAGGGATTGAGAAAGATGCAAATCAGCAGCAGCAGGAGGAGGAGGAGGAGGAGGAGGAGGGGAGAGGCAAGCGCGGGAAAGTGGAGAGAGAGGACTGGATAGAGCCCTCTCCCATGTCTAGAATGTTCAGCTTCTTATGCAGCCTGCTACCTCTTTCCTCTGACACACTCACCGAATTTAGGCCCCTCGCAAATCGCATCCGTAAGGGCATCTGGGCGTCCAGTACAGATAACTACCCTGACGAGGGGGTGCAAACAACCCTAAGTCCAATCAAGGCTGATTATTGGTCCTCCGCGGGTAGTAACGACCTCGATGCCCCAGAGAACCTGTTGTATGAGATGAAGTCTCCCGTGTGCCTGATCCATCAGATCTACGTGCGGCCGTTCCGAGCCGTCTTCCAGGATGGCAATCCCATCTACTCGTCGAGATCGGTGCGCTTCCACTTCGGATACTCGCGGGAACTTCAGCGAAAGTTCGAAGAGAAAGCGCAGCTTGTGCACCCAGCTGTCATACGTCGGGTGTTCCCTTCCTCCTCCTCCTGCTCTTCTTCGACAGCCACGATTCGAATGAATGATGGCCAATCGAGCTGTGACAAAAAGAAGAAGGTGATGGTGAACCGAGGAAGAGGAGGAGGAGGAGGAGGAGGGGGAAGAGGGGATAGGGAGAAGGGGAAGGAGAAGGTGGAGGGGAAGGAGGGAGGAGGGGACGGGGGGGATAGCGATGAGGAGGATCCTGATGTAGTGGATGACTTCGTCTGGACGTACACCTCACCGGTGTATCCAATGGAGCAGAGGGATGCCTTGCAATGCTTCCAGCTGCCAAAACCGGTGTTGTGTGTGGGGGGTCTGCTTCGTGTCGAGTTGATGGGACGGGTCCAGGTTCAAGACAATGATCAGCTGTATTACATATGTATTGGGAAAGTAATGGCCAGAGGGAGGAGTGTTGGTAGGGTGGGTTTTCAACCCGAAGAAGGTGGTGGGGGAGGGGTGATTCTCCGATTTGCATCGGGGCTTAACGGCGGGAAGGAGGATGGGCAAGAAGA